ACAACGTTCACGCAAAGTGCAGCTCATCACTCAACATCATCAAATTTTTGCGTGGAACTTGGTGGGGGTCGCACCCCGATACTCTGATGATCCTGTACAAATGCTTTATTCGATCAATTATCGATTACGCACTGTTCGTGTATTTGCCAACCACCTCACATCTCCTGCAGAAGCTAGAAAAAATCCAATTTGCAGCCATCAGACTGGCCCTCGGATATCGTCAAAGCACGCCCACGAACATCCTCCTCGCAGAGTCGAAACTGCCTTCGATACAAGAGCGCGCGAGGCTCATGGGGCGAGTGTACACGGCTAAAATCTTGAGCAACTCAGGCTCCGAGATATTCACCTCCATCACCCAATTCACAAATTTTCTACGCCACCACAACTCAAACAGAATTTTCTCTCAGTGCATACTCTCTTTCACGAACTCAGACCATACCTTATTCTCTGGCAACAACTTCAATCTATACAACCACAGCTTTCACTCTCTTTATTACACGATCCCCACTAATTTCGCAATAGGCAGAGCGCAAAAAATAGCCCAAACCCAAAATTCATCATCGAGGAATTCATCAACAAAAATCATCTCACCCCCATTTTCACCGACGGCAGCAAGATTCCAGGGGCGCCTGGCGTGGGATGTGCTTTCTACTGCCCAGAAGACGACCATCACTCCTCCAGAACCCTAAGCCCCCTCGCGTCGATCTTCTCCGCCGAGTGCCACACAATTAACGACGCGCTAGACTACATCACCCACCTGGCGGACGACAGGAAATATATCATCATGAGCGACTCCCTCAGCGCTCTCATGAGTCTACAAGCTTCGAACATCAGCGTCAAAACCAACCACGTCATCCTATGTAACGCTATGTAACGCTTAGTAACGAACCATACTACACGTAACTGCTCGAGACTCAACGTTACTGAACTTTACTGAAAGTTACTGCAAGTTACTGCACGTTACTGCAAGTTGCTGAAAGTTTCTGCAAGTTGCTACACGTTACTGAACGTCCCTCAACGTTGACGCACGGTAACGCACGGTAACGCACATCAACGCTATGTAACGCTTAGTAAAGCACCATATTACACGTGACTGCTCGTGACTTAACGTAGCTGAACGTTACTGCAAGTTACTGCACGTTACTGCAAGTTGCTGCTTGTTATCTAACGTTACTGTACGTTCCTAAACGTTACGTCACGTCACTGCAAGTTGCCGCACGTCACTCAACGTTGATGCACGGTATCACCTAGTAACGCACGTTAACGCACAGTAACGCTATGTAACTCTCAGTAACGCACCATACTACAAGTAACTGCTCGTGACTTAACGTTAATGAACGTTACTGCAAGTTGCTGCACGTTACTGAACGTCACTCAACGTTGAGTCACGGTAACGCAAGGTAACGCACGAAATCGCACAGTAACGCTGTGTAAAGCTCAGGAACGCACTATACTACGCGTAACGGCTCGTGACTCATTGTTACTGAACGTTACTGAACGTTACAGCACGTAACTGCAAGTTGCAGCACGTTACTGAACGTCACTTATCGATGACGCTTGCAACGCACGGCAACGCTCGGTAACGCACAGTAACGCTATCTAACGCACAGTAACGCACGATACTACACGTGACTGCTTGTATCCTAATATCACTGTACGTTACTGAACATCACTTAACGTTGAAGTACGGTAACGCACGGTAATGCACGGTATCGCCCAGTAACGCACGGTAACGCTATGTAACGCTATTGTACGCACAGTAACACAAGATACTACACGTGACTGCTTGTTACCGAACATTACTGTACGTTACTGTACGGTATCGCACGTTACTGCACATCACTTAACGTTTACGCACGGTAACGCTCGGTAACGAACGGTAAATTACGTTAACGCACAGTCACGCTATGTAACGCACGAAACTACACGTTATTGTAGGTTATTTAACGTTACTAAACGGTACAGCACGTTACTGCACATTGCTGCACGTTATTGAACAATACTGAACGTTCACGCGCGGTAACGCACGGTAACGCACGGTTACGCATAGTAACGCTAAGTTACGCACGATACTACACTCGACTGCTTGTAACCTAATGTTACGGCACGTTACTGCACGTTGCTGCACGTTACTGAACATCACTTAACGTTGACGCACGGTATTACACGGTAACGCACAGTATCGTACAGTTAAGCACAGTAACGCATAGTAACGCTATGTCACGCACGGAACTACACGTTATTGCAGGTTATTCAACGTTACTGATTGTGACTGCAAAATGCTGCACGTTACTGAACATCACTTTACGTTGACGCACGATATTGCACATCAACGCTATGTAACGCACAGTAACGCACCATACTACACGTAACTGCTCGTGACTTAACGTGACTGCACGTTACTGCACGTTACTGCAAGTTGCTGCACGTTACTGAACGTCACTCAACGTTGACGCACGGTAACGCACGGTATCGCATAGTAACGCTATGTAACGCTCAGTAACGCACCATACTACACGTGACTGCTCGTGACTTAACGTTATTGAACGTTACAGCACGTGACTGCACGTTGCTGCACGTTGCTGCACGTTACTGAACCTCACTTATCGATGACGCTTGCAACGCACGGCAACGCTCGGTAACGCACAGTAACGCTATCTAACGCACAGTAACGCACGATACTACACGTGACTGCTTGTATCCTAATATCACTGTACGTTACTGAACATCACTTAACGTTGAAGTACGGTAACGCACGGTAATGCACGGTAACGCCCAGTAACGCACGGTAACGCTATGTAACGCTATTGTACGCACAGTAACGCAAGATACTACACGTGACTGCTTGTTACCGAACGTTACTGTACGTTACTGTACGGTATCGCACGTTACTGCACATCACTTAACGTTTACGCACGGTAACGCTCGGTAACGAACGGTAAATTACGTTAACGCACAGTCACGCTATGTAACGCACGAAACTACACGTTATTGTAGGTTATTTAACGTTACTAAACGGTACAGCACGTTACTGCACATTGCTGCACGTTATTGAACAATACTGAACGTTCACGCGCGGTAACGCACGGTAACGCACGGTTACGCACGGTCACGCTATGTAACGCTTAGTAACGCACGATACTACACGTGACTGCTTGTTATCTAACGTTACTGTACGTTACTGAACGTTACAGCACGTTACTGCAAGTTGCCGCACGTTACTGAACATCACTTAACGTTGACGCATGGTTACGCATGGTAAGGCACTAAACGTTAGTGCTCGTCACTGCACATTGACGCACGATAACGCACGTTTACGCTGAGTAACGCACAGTTATTTACAGTAACGCTGAGTAACGCTTGAAACTTCTCGTTATTGCAGGTTATTCAATGTTTCTGAACGTTTCTTCTTGTTACTACAAGTTGATTAATTGATTGAACAAATTTTATTATGCCAAGGTCATTGAGACCGAATGGTAAGTGGCAACCCAGATTAAGTATAGTTTTAAGTTAAAGTTAGCGGTATTATTACTTGTTATTATTTGTTCTCTGCTTTCGCCACATAGATATATATTGTTGCTAAGTTCTGCATCATTTTGTAAATTTAAAATTTAAATTCGTATTGCTGATTTGCCACTTTCCATTCGGTCTCAATGACCTTGGCATAATAAAATTCGGGGTTAACGGCTATTTAACCTTTTGACAAATCAACCCGACAATTCATCCGGGACATTTCAACCCGAAGACAATTTATCCTATGACAATTCATCCGGACGGAAAATCAACCTTGTCAATTTAACCTGGGCGACTATTCATCCTCAATAAAATTATACTTTTATTTCATATCATTTTTCTCCTGTTTCATTTGATTTCGGTATTTGTGAGTGACTATACGTAATATTATGGCTTAAAACAAATTTCAACACCATATGTAACGTCGTTAATTTACAGACACACAGGACAAGACTAAGCGGCATATGTCAATAAGCTGCTCGAAGTGAGCTGAAATCACACATAATATAATGTTGATACTCACATACACATACACACTCTGGTATATAATCTGCTCGGGAGTGAGCTGAGATCACACAATATTACGTATAGTCACTCACAAATACCGAAATCAAAGGAAACGGGAGAAAAATGATATAAAATAAAAGTATAATTTTATTGAGGATGAATAGTCGCCCAGGATGTATTGTCGCGGTTGAATAGTCGCCCAGGTTGAATTGTCGCGGTTGAGTTGTCGCGGATGAGCTGTCGCAGGATGAATTGTCAAAGGCTGAGTTGTCCGGATCCCACTTAAACTTATAGTACTGATAATATGAATCAAATTTAAGAATTACCATCAGACATAACAAACGGACAATGATCAAGCACTAGGCGGGCGTCTCATATGGTCGCGCAACAATCTTTTAAATAATGGGAGCGAGCTAGCAGCGCGGAGCTGTGCTGGTAGCGCATTCCACTCATTTGCAGCCTGGACGGCGAATCCCATGTTCCGTGAGAGGATAATTGAATTATTCGCTTAGCCAATTCTTTAACAAAAAACTAATAACTTTATTAATGAAAAATTCTCGTCGGTAAATCGAGATTGCTAGTCGGCGTAAAAGCGAGTAACGCGCGACTGGGTCGAGAGCTAGATGAGCTTTCAAGGTCCAACTTCGACTGTTTCGATCAAGCAGTTCGATCGAGCACTGAGGCAATAAGCACAAACATCATCTCTGTCCGTTATTCTCCCATCAAGCACCCGGCACAGTCGCGCCCTACATGCCAAAACTTAACAATAACTAAACATACCGCCCGCGTTGACGCAATGTAGCGGCAATAACATCACAAACCATAACAAGAATGAAAGTCCACAAAAGAGTTCACAAAAAAATGACAATGTAAAAAACAAAATTATAAACAAATTAATAATACAAAAAAAGTAAAGCAACTCTAAACAATACAAACAGTTTTCCGACAAAGGTTTCGAAATTTCAAGAGCCTAAAATAATTCATTCGCTCGTCTCCTTTTCATTGAGCCGACAGTAAAATTCCTCGGCTTGAGCATCAGTCGGCAGCTTAATCAATTTGACAATTGGTCTTGTAAAAGTTGAGCTTGCGGTCTTGATAGTCGCAACTCTGACCAATCCATCAGAACCTGGATGAACCTGCTCGACGCGTGCCAGCGGCCACGACGATGGCGAGCATAGATCATCCTTCAGCAGCACCATGTCACCTGGCTGCAAGCTCTCCCGTGCGGTCAGCCATTTGCTCCTCTGCTGCATTTGTGAGAGCACTTCTCTTCTCCATCGACTCCAAAACAAGTCACGCATGCCGCGCAACAACCTCCAGCGACTAGTAAAGTTGAGAGTTCGATCATCGTAAGGCTCAGGGTAGTCCAGCAGCGAAGACCCAACCAAAAAATGAGCCGGGGTAAGGGCCTCCAAATCCTCTGGTCGGCTGCTGCGAGGACACAGTGGTCGCGAGTTCAAACACGCTTCGATGCGCGCAGCCACAGTTGAAAGCTCCTCAAATGTGAGCCTCGCGTCGCCAATGACCCGTCGAAAGTGGTATTTGAAGCTCCTCACGGCGGCCTCCCACAAACCGCCGAAGTGTGGTGCCCTGGGAGGGATGAACGTCCAAACTATGCCCTTCTTCTGCAAACGATTGCTTGCACGCTCGAGAAGAGGCGAGCTTTTGGAGAAGAGTTCACGCAGCTCTCTCGATGCTCCCTTAAAGGTAGTTCCATTGTCTGAATAGAGCACCGCAGGTCTTCCCCGTCGAGCGCAAAAGCGAGAGAACGCTGCGAGAAAAGCACTGGTGGTCAGATCCGACACCACCTCAACGTGGACCGCTCGGACAACCATGCAGATAAAGATGGCGACGTAACCTTTGGTCGACGGAGCCTTACGTCCTTTTGAAAACAGTATTGGCAGTGGTCCGGCATAGTCCAATCCTGTTACTTGGAATGGTCGTCCAGGAGTGACTCGAACTGCGGGCAGCGGGCCCATCTGCTGCTCCATTGCAGTAGCTCGAAAGCGAGCACAGCGGACGCAGTCTCCGCAAACGGCGGGAATGACGCGCGGGCCTCGCAAAATCCAAAACATGCGGCCCAGGTGTGAGCGCATAAGCTGCGGTCCTCCATGAAGTGTATCCCTATGAGCCTGTTCAATCAATCTCCTCACGATTAAACAACGTCCAGGTAGAATGATCGGGTGTTTTTCATCATACGTCAGTGGAGCGTTCTGCAAACGACCACCAACTCGCAATAGACCTCCAGTGCCAATGAAGGGGTGAAGTGCCCTCAACCGACTCCTCTTCGGCAGCTTTTCTCCAGCAGTGACCGCCTTGATATCGTCCCCGAAATGATGCGCCTGGATCCGCCGAAAACACATA